CGGCACTAAACGTAGTCGTACTCTCATTATTTCGTGGCTATGGTAACCCTATTAAGATCGGTCACGGCGCGATGCTACTGAAACCTTATTATATATTTATTATTATTAGCCGTTGATATAATTTTATATCCTTTTCATTCAGCTTCAATCTAATAACAACTCAATATTAATAATAGTTAATAACAATTTTTAAATATAAATATCAATTGCCGTGCGTTATTACTTATTAGTCTCGCAATAACTCGAAAATGACTCGACCGATGTTGATGAAACTTTTTGAGTGTGATTGTTTGAGTGGGTGGTTAGATGGTTGGTTTTTAGATTAAACATTAGACCCGGTAGGTGGCGCTGTTGTCATTCAAATAATAAAATAACGGGTGCCAACCAGCTCGCCAAGCGACAGCGATAGTAGCCTAATGGCAGGGCGCGGACCGCGAACTTATAAAGGTCGTGGGTTCGAATCCTCCATTCGACTACTGGCGTGAACCACTCGTAACACAAGCAGTTTAAGCTTACCACGAGTGGTTAAGTGGAATATTAGTAATTTTTAAAGCATTGTTAATATTCTTTAAAAATGTCTATATAATAAAATATCTATGGCAAGCAACAAGCGATCCGGGCTTTCTAATCGATACTTTAATAAATTAGGAGGAGTTATTGCTTTAGTTATATCTATTTTAATTATTCTTCTTTTAACCATTAATAAAAAATTCAAGGAATTCAATTTTATCCTATTAATCATATATTATTTTGATCTATGTGGACTTGTAAAGGGCTGTAATGTTGATAATGATGATGATAGTATCTATTATTATTTTTGACTTCTGCCAAAGCGCTCGCCACACCGCCGTTTTACTTCGCCCCCAATCGGAAAACCTCACCGGTATTCTTCGAATTCAATATCGGTTTTCAATAACAAATATTGTATTTGAAATCCCGCTATTTGATAAAAGGCATTTCGAGGTAATCATATTATCAAAATAGACACATTTAATCATTTTTACGCTGACTAACACAAAGACTGCATTTTCAGTGATTCACTAAAATGCTAATCGAGTGCTTGGCACACAGATTTAATTTTAGTATGCGCCTCATTCGAGCGTTGTCGGATTTATGCCGCGTGAGCGCGTAAGAAATACGTTATAATGTTAACGTTCGTCAGATTTCGCCAATATTTAGTGCATACTATGACTTTTCACGCTATGTAATGTAAATACTTAGATCAAACTCTTATTTAATTCTTAATTTATATCGCAAATATTGTCTCTAATGCTCTGTCAATTTAATTTGTAGGTTGCTAAGGATGATATGCGCCACTTTTGTAATGTGAATCTGCTATGTTATATTATAATAATCTATAATAAGAAACTAAGATATTAATTAGTGGCCAAGCGGAGAGTTTACGAATCAGTGGTACGCGTAGGTACCCATAGGCGCACGTCCTAAGGAACGATACGGGGTAAGGGTAAGGGCAATCTCTTGAAAAAGGTAAAGAAACGGAAAAAGATTCATTTACCAAATTCTACATGTAAAACGTGGACATTTAGCTGGGGACGGGACGAGACCGGACAAAGTGGTTAAAATCGTAATATACGTCGCTTAGTCTATTGTGATTTGTGAGCAGAGGTCGTATACGCAATAATTTGAAATAATATATAAAATATATTATATATTAATGCGCAGAAATTTGTTTTATTTTAATTACCAATTTTGGTGTTTAAAGCTAGACAGCGGTGCCTACGACGTACGAGATCAAAGTTTTTTGTATTATGTTCCCATAGGCCGCTCTATAAACTAAATCTCTTTGGCTCCAATGGATCTAAAATAACCGATATGATTTTCATTATTATTAAAATTGTTGAGAAGTTAATAAATGACTAAAATATATTTTAGTTATTACTTCGGTTTTCAGTTATAAGGAGTACACCGAGCTTGGGCTCTTTCTCGAACTAGTACACAGAAAAAAAAAGCTGTCTAGGGTCTAGGCGACCCGAAAGGTCCACACGACTAACTTCCCAGTGGAAACAATAAAAAATTATATGTTTTAATATTTTATATAATTTTTCATTCGGCACAAAAAATGACTTGACCGAATTTGCTCATAATTTAATGAGGTCTAAGTTACATAATTATGCGTTAAATGAAACTGGTCCCTGTCAATATCACTTTGTTCTCGAGATACACGAATTTAATCCGAACATACATACATACATGTGCACACACGGACATCCTCTTAATAACATACTATTCGTACGGACATCCTCTTAATAAACATACTATTCGACTCTTAAAAACCTTAAAACGTGGAGATATTATAACATTTCCAATTTGCAAAATCGGACCCATTACAGTAACTTCAAACTGGGAAGTTAATTAGGAACTACTGGTCTACTAAAGACTAATCGCCAATTTGATTATTATGCCGATATTACGGTGTTTTATATCGCGCATACCATATGCAGTGTTTAGTTTTCACCTACAAACATTTTTGCCGTTTCTATTTTGTTGAACTTTTGAAGTTTTATTCAGTTTGGTCACTTATTATGATTGTCCTTGTTGTTCTTTGTTTTGAACAGACATCATGGCGTCAATCGCTTATCATTATTTGTTTGTTTCTTTGCTTGCCCCGTATATGCGTTTCTATAACATTTATCCAATTACGGTGAAACTGGTAAGTTGATGTATGCGCGTCCCCGAAGATTTCTGATAAAAAAAATTGATAATTTCGTATATTTACGCGAACACTACCCATTAAACGATATTAGTTTTTCTTTACCAGTTTTATCTCGTTTTACGTATTTATTTTATAATACCGACGCTTCAAATACATTGCACCACTTATGAACTAGGAGAGCTGACGTTTTTACCGCCCCAATGTCATAGTTGACCACGGCTAATTTCACCTAAAAGTATTAATTTTGGTCCGATTTCCGCAATTAGATTTAAGTCGGGTTTTGATTTTATTAACAATAGGAATCCATTGATTAAAACTACTTTTACGGATTTTATCGCGTTTTATTTATATTAATTTTAATACCCGACGTTTCGGGTGCTTTCCAGCACCCCATGGTTACGGGGGACTGAGGTGACTGACGTCCCGATGTCAAAGTTAACCCGGCGTACCTTCAGCTTTTTAATTATTGTCTTTGGTCCGATCTACGCAAAATGAACTAACTGTGTTTTGAAGTCTTGCAGTGGTATGCTTGGGTTTAGTTTTAATTTTACTAATTATAGGATCCCAAGCAGGTAGTAGTACCCAGCCTCCTTCTCTATTGAAATTAGGATGTTTTTTTGATTTCAATAGCACCCGAAACGTCGGTTATTAAAATTAATATAAATAAAACGCGATAAAATCCGTAAAAGTAGTTTTAATCAATGTATAGTGTTCGCGTAATAGGAATCCAAGCAAAAACCGTAGCACCAGCCATATTTCTCCATTTTTCACATTCCATATTTCATGTATTATATGAAAAATCTCACGAATCATTCTTAGGCGCCCCTAGACGATCAATAAACCTATTGATGATAATATTTTGCAATATTATTGACCGTATAGGGTTAATATTGAAGATTGCGCAACGATTGAACGAAAGTTTGAGCGAATTTAATTTTTATTGCACCATATTTTTTCATTGCATCGTGTAGGGTTAGTATTGCGCAATATTTTTTGGTCTGTTTCGTCTTGACGAGGAGAAAACGCGCGCGCGCAAACATGGCGGAAAAAGAGAATCCAAAAGTTAAGAAAAGGGAGTTTATCGTCGAATGTATCCAATTGTACAGGAATTGTCATCTCTGTGGAATGTCAAGAGTAAAGAATATCATGAACGTGATGAAAAAATGCTGCTTACGAAACATTGTTGTCTAAATACAGAGAAATGTTTCCACAGGAAAGCAAAGATGATTTAAAGAATAGATTCAATTCTTTGAGAACTACTGGAAGGAGCTCAAGAAACACCTCGGGTTGATGAAATTCGGATCTAGTACAGACGACATATACCAACCTACGTTATACTATTATAACGAAATATTTTTTACAAGATCAAGAATCCGCATCGGATTCACAGTCTAATACGGATAATCAATCTATTATACGAAGTCCGGGAGGAGAGAGTGAACGTCGAGTTTGGACAAAAGTTTACACAGGTAATTTTTAATTTATTTTATTTAAATGAATACAAAATTGCATGTTTTACGAGAGCAATTTTTCTTGCCAGGGAACTGCACCTTCGTTGTTACAAAATCCATTGTACTTGTACCGTGCTTGCTTTGATTGAATTTTTTTTGATATTTTCAATGATGTCAACAGGAATACTTTCTGAAATGATGGGTGTATTGTTCCTGATTCGTTATCTTCACGAAATATGAATGGTGGAAATAAATAGGAACGGAATTTTATAACGGAAATTTAGGAATAAATTGTGTAGATAACAACAAGTCAAAACAATTTTCCTTACTTTTATAGGATCAAAAGAAAATGCTCTTTGAAATATCCCAAAACGAGTAGCTAATATATCGAAAACACTTTCAACCATCCTTCTAGCTCGCGATATTTGATATTTGAATATTCTTCTCTTTTGTTATTCCAGTTTGGCTATATGGTTTCAGTAAATTTTGAGACATTGGAAATGCATCATCCGCAACAAAAAAGCATGGGAGTTTTCAGGAAGTTCCAGGCAACAATGCAGGTAGGTAATGTAGGAGACTTAAGACATTATTTTTTAATTGATTTCCAATTATATTCTGCAGCACACCTCCATCTGATTACACGACCATTAGTCCCAACATCAACCATAATGAACGCTTAATGTGCATTTACAACTGCCATCAACACAATACTAAATGTTTTTTATAGTTATAGCAGTATTATCCACAACCAGGAGGTTTCTTTCCACGTATTTGCCATCTTGTAGCACCGATTACATGAGGGCGCATTTCACTGGATCTTAAAATCCTTGGCAACTTGTTGAAATGAAATAAAAACAAATTATTTATCTTTTTAGGAGGATAACACAACTGTTGGAGGGGATCAAGCACCATTTGCATCCCATGCAGTTGCGAAGACTAAAAATAAGAATTTAAATAAAAATAACTTGATGATAACCTTATGCATTTGTCAGCTAAGCGTCTTAGAGAAAAACCAGACGAATATCCAAACTGGGCTTTGTCTTGTGCTGCAGATTTAAAGAAAATGGAACCAATGCTACAAATCTTTACTAAAATGCTATTGCTGCCATTATCATGGAAAGACAATTAATATTGAAAGGAAATTAGGAAAATTGGGATAGGACTTTTACACCGCAATCCGGTAAAACTAAATACTTCAAGTTGTGATAACTTTATCTCCGACATATACCAGATCCACGTAAACTGCAACAAAATTATAGCAGCACGCCATCGCCTCAATATTTTATAAACTATTATCAACGGCAAGATTCTGAACTTCCACCTGAGCAGTTGCCACATAAACAGCAGAACATGTAATACTTCCAACGGGATAATCAGCAGAACATGATCAATTTTCAACAGGAAAATGATGACTCAATGGCGAACGAAGGTTCATTATCTTAATATATACAGTTTAATAAATAAATGAAAAGGTTATAGTCTTTATTTACCTTGAGAGGAAGAAATTAATCGTTCAAAACATTTATTATCGCATCGCAGCTTCCATAATTAATAAAGAAAGACTTTGTGGGGAAATAGCACTATGAAACTTTAAACCTTCCAGAGTATTTCCGGTCGCTAGATACCGTAATGTTATTAAAAGCCGTTGAAAAAGTGGTATTGCTTCCCTAATATTTCTATTTTTTTTCTCAATCAATGGCGTGACCAATTCTAATAGCTCTTCAAACTGTTACAAATTCAGTCGTACAAAATTTTTGAAGTTTGTTTCCTCAGATAACATCAGGTCTTTTAAAAGATTTCCGTGAGTATATTGCCGTACTTCTGCCTTTTTTGTACCAATTTTTTGACCTGCGACGTCTTCGTTTGCGTTTACGTTTACGTTCACGTTTAGCCACAAGCAACAACACTACAACTGCTGCTAAATCTTGTTGGGACATGTTGCTGTACGTACGGTGCACACGGGATTAATAACATTCTCCGACTGAACACGAAAATATTGCGTAGTTCGTATTATTGTGCAATGTAATTGGTCGTTTGGATTTAAAGCGCCTTCCAATCTTTTTGTACAATAAAATGTATTGTACAATGTTATTGTAGGTCTAGGGGCCGCCTTTCAATCCGCCTTCAAATCACCTTTGTGTTATACATATTTGTAATTTTTTTAATAATTCAATTTCGGTGGCACGGCAGTATATGTTTCAATGCCTATGTTTTAACCCTGATATAAACATAACAGTACAAAAACTAATCATCATAATTATTTCTAAGGAATATTAAAAATGTTATCACGTTACTTTTTTCAGCTTTTCCGATTAAAGAAAAACATAAAATTTTACTGTGTTTGAAATAAGCAAAAGTATTTACCATCATACAAGAGCTTGGCTTGTTCTTCAAAAGCGACAACGCTCTATTGAAGAACTACAGAACTTATGTGCCGCGGCTGTTTTTGTGGGTCATTACGAATCATCTTGTCTTGAGTCATCTTGACATCTTGACTTGATGAATTCTATCCCTCCATCCTCCCGAACCGGCCGGTTTCAGAAAAAGCTACTTTTTTATAGGATAAGGGTGACAAACGAGCACACAGTCCACCTGTTGGTAAGTGGATGCTGTGGCCCATATATATCTACATCTATTCTCGATTAAGAATCATAATACAGATGCGTTGTCACACCTGAGGACTAAGATGAAATGCCTCGTTTCCAGTAAAAAGGGTTTCGGGTTTTCTGCATTAACCATACGAAATACAGCAGCTTTAAGCTGGTATTTTACGCTGGTATTCTGTGTGAGTGGAGCACTTCCCCGGTCGAGGCGACCTATTCGTGCTTAAACCATAATATAGCTGCAGTATGGCTCTACCACGTGAAAGATATCCCCGAAACTCTTCACCGCTGCTTTGGAATACGTTTTCAAACAACGGGGATTGGGTATCAACGTCTGGTGAGTAAATTACTCACTTTTGATTTGCTGATAATATAGTCAATAATATATTAGATAGATCTCAGCACTTAACTATGTCCTCCTAACCTAAGCACTAACAATAACCTCATTAGTGTCTTTCAACAAATGGGTCTTAATATGACCATGAACAAGACCAAGCTATTGTGTCATACCTTATCAACGTGCTAATAATTCTCCAGTATTAATAGAATTAAGTTATATAGATACGGATAGAGAGTTCAATATTATTCAAATGTTTCGGTTTAATAGTCGCGCCCTGACTGAACGCAATTTTCCGCACGGAGATAGTTACTACCTTCAGATTGGTTGCCCTAGCTAAATTTGTGTAACATGTTCAAGTCCTGATACCTTTTTTTTAATCTTTATTTATTATAGAGGGTTAGATCTACTAGATCAAGTCACCCTCATAGGTACACAATCAAACACATAATCAGACAATAATGAGCTCACGTAAACAATAATAAAAGATTACCTGTTCTTAATACCTAACCATACAAGTTTATAAAGTTTCCTAGCTTTATGCGACAATGGAAAAGCTAGGATACTGTTATATAATCCAACACTATTTTTGTCAAAACCTAATTGCTTTCTATATGCTTCGTTCCGTTCACATTCCATCATAATATGAATAACATCTTATACGACTCCACATTCGTCACAATTTGGTGAATTCACTTTTCTCATTACAAATACAAATTTGTTTAATGGTACATGTCCGGAACGATTGCTGTAATAATTTCTTGCCTTACCATATTGCATCCTTCAAACCAAAGGAAGCGGGAAGCATGCGGTTGTATCGTCTTGTACCAAATACCTTTTGACAAGTGACCTTTCATCAAAGTATTCGGACCACTTTTCTGTACAGTTTTCACGAACTAGATAAGAGTTCAGAGAAATAAGGTACACAGTCGAAATTCTACCCATCACTTAGCAACCTGGTATTCTCTTGGCGTTATATATTGCTAGCCGTGGTAGTTCAGTGGCTAAGCGCGCACTTTAAATTCCACAGTATGCAAGCAATAGGGTTCGATCTCCGCGGGCACCAATAATATTGTTAATTGCAATTTTATGTGCTGTGCAGACGTGCTCGACGGTGAAGGAAAACATCGTGAGGAAACCGGCATGCCTAAGAAATAACAAAAAAGAGCATATATTTCGAAGACGTGAAGTCCGCAAACACGCATTAGGTTATAGTGCGGGCGCGGCAGATATTTCCTTGCCCTAAAACCCTCTCATTTCTGAGGCATGTGCCCAGCTGTGAGACATACTCGTATATAGGCTAACTGTAGGTAACTTTAGCTTAACTTTATATATTGCCATTATGTCGTATCGAAATAAAAATGATGTAACAATGGGCTCGGAACATTATTGATTTTGCCTATGGATCCTAAAATGCCAGCTGGCTTTGGTCCAATGTTTGCAGGTTGTCATAAAAACGTTTGCCGCATCGCTGCGTTATTTTACTTTGCGAAATCCCAGGGAACTCGATGCGAAAATAAAGTAAACCAATAATTATGCACTTTATTATAAATATTATTGTTATAGTTTGAATATTCATTTAAAATCTCTAAACTAAACCTCGTTGCTATTTAAGTTTGTAAAAAATTTGGTCATAATATATAGCGGCCATATTTATTATATTTAATCTTTTGTAGTCCAAAAGTAACATAAATGAATATAAAATTGTATTGGGTGATATATGAGATGAAGTAGTGGGTGATATGACAATTAATCCATTTTTTACTAATAGAGCTTCTGTCTGTTTTGCGTGCATCTCTAGTAAAAAAGACAAAAACATGGTTGCCGCCGCGTTTGGCACATAGGTTGGCTGATTGGGACAGGATGCGGTCTTTTTTTGCATCCTAACCTTGAGGGCGAGATTGCTTCCCTCCGGATAATCCCAACGTTGTTGCTAATTCTGTCTCTGATGTGATACTTCAGTGAATGGAAATATTTATTCCATCATCTGTGGTGCCTATCGGAGGCAGAACTCAGCCATGGTTTGGTCATTTCTGTAAAATTGCATCACGCCAAAAGTAGGAGTGCTACCAGGTCTGGGTTGACGCATTTACGTTTCGGGATGCAGACACCAGCGCTCTTAAAAAGAAGTATATTTCTGTCTCCAGGTCTTTCAAAAGCTGACGGAGTAACACACCGCCGATCATCCCGCGGTGTGAGTGTTCCATGCAGAATGTGTTGTTTACGCAGTGCTCGTTGCGCAAAGCATTCATCGCCCTGGACGTCCGCAAGTCGAGTGGACCTGATGGAGTCCCATCTATTGTGCTGAAAAACTGTGCTCCGGAATTGACACCAGTTTTAACACTTCTTTTTCGGTACTTCTACTCCCTAAATGTAGTCCCGAACTCATGAAAGACAGCTTTGGTGCAACCGATCCCTAAAAAAGACGTCCGCTTAGTTCCATCCCAACTACAGGCCTATTTCTATCACCTCCTTGTTCTCCAAAATAATGGAATTAATTATTTACTGCTAGCTCATGTGGTACTTTAAGGATGACCAGCTGTTATGTCACCGTCAGTAAGATTTCCGTCGGGGTCACTCAGCTGGGTTACATAACTCATAGATGGGCGGAGGCAGTAGAGTCCAAGAGGGAAGCGTTGGCCGTTAGTTTGGACATAGCGAAGGCCTTCAATCGGGTTTGGCACAAAGCGCTTCTTTCCTATGGGCTTCCTGAAAAGTTGTGCAATTGGATCACCAGTTTTCTTGCAGATCGGAGCATCAAGGTCGTAGTAGACGGTGCATGCTCCAATTACAAGCCCATTAACGCTGGTTTTCCATAAGGCTGCGTGCTATCACCAACGCTATTTCTTCTGCATATGCATATATTTTATCATATATGTTGCAAACCGTTAACAGTTATTGCTATGCGGACGACAGCACTGGTGATGCTTTATACACAGGCCGCCCAATATTTCTCGTGAAAACGTCGCCAAGTACCGGAACAAACTTGAGTCCGAAGTTGAGACATTGTTGAACAAATTCTCGGACTGGGGGCGACCGAATCTAGTCTAGTTCAATCCCCAGAAAATACAAGTTTGCGCGTTTACCGCTAAAGAGCATATTC